CGAGAGGCCCCTGCTCCAAAACAGCCAGCAGGCAAAGAGCCCTTCTTTGAGACCTCGCACAGGGGCAGGGACAAATTTGGGGTGCTTGCTGGCTTTCAGGAGGGGGGTACGAGCGTGTCCCAGCCTGCAGCGCAGCAGGAGGAGGATGCCGTAGCCCTGGACGCGGGGAGCCGGCTGGGGACGATTTCAGGAGCGTGGAGGCAGGACCCCGCACCGATGTCCTTGGGGCCAGCGCCTCGCTAGACTTCAGGGGTGGCCAGCTGCAAAGAAACCCAAGAGTTGCTGCTTCTGGGAAGGGGACAGGGCTTAGAGTGCCCCCACCGGCACCCACCGCCCCGCGGGGTCTGTGGGGCCTTCGGCCTCTCCACCGCCCCTCGCGCCCACCCACGCCTGGAGCAGCGCCCGGTGCAGCGAGGTGGAGGTGCTCCCCGGGGATGGGGGTGGCATGCTTTCCGGGATGGGGGACACCGGCGGCGGCGGGAGGAGGTCTGTCATGCAGGCAGGGGTCAGACGTTGGTCCTGGGAGCCAGCCTGGCCCCGGCTCTGCTTCTAGCTGGGCTGTTCTTTGGGGTCGTAGATCACCTCGGCGTAGCTGGGTGGCTGGGGCAGGTCAGCCAGCGGCACGGCCAGGTCCACCCGTGTGGCGCTGGGCACGATCAGCATGGCCTGGGGGAGAGCAGGGGGGGATGGTGCTGGGGGTCCGGCCGGCTGCCCTTCGCCCGGCCGCCCTTCGCCCCCCTGCCCTACCTCGTTGGAGCTGAGGCGGGTGGCCCGGCACCAAAAATTGGCGGTGGCCACGGCGATGCAGAACTCCAGGATAGTGAAGATGAGCAGGACGATGGAAATCCCATTCCCTGCGAGCTCCAGGACGGGGAAAGCCCCATCAGCAGTGCCCAGGAGGAGGAAACCCGGGCTCGGCCCCACAGGATGGGCCCCACCCCACGTTTTGGGGCGAGGATCTTGGGGCTTCCCCTCCTCTGTCCCCCACCGATCCTAAGCACTGCAGCCCCGGCTCCGCAGGCGCCAAGGTCTCGCTCGGAGCCCTCTGCCTCGCCGCCTTTATGGCTTGTGGAGAGAAACGGGCACTTCCAGGGCGTGAGTCATCTCCCGAGGTATCGGCCTAAAATAGGTCAGGCGCACGGCACCGCGCCGGCAGACGGCCCTGCAGTCGGGGTGCTGCCGGCTGTGGGCTCCCTGCTCCCCAGCAGTGATGGGGCTGAGCCCCACGGAGGAGCCTAGCAAAGCTCTCCCCCCAAGGAAGGGCTCAGGCAGCATCCAGGGAGGCACAAAAGCCCCCGGGAGGGATGGAAAAGGGGACAAGGGAGGTTTCCAAAAGGCTTAGCCCTGTCTGGGCAGGCTCAGCCAGCCCTGGGCACCGCTGCTCCGAAAGCGGAGGCTGGGGGGGGCCCGGCTGTACCCCTGCTTACCAAGACGAGATAGCTGTAGTAGTCAAAGCTGGAGCGGTAGAGGCCGTTCAGGTTGAGGTCTACGATGAAGGCGACAATACCCAGCAGAGCAAAGATGGCACTGATGACATTCATGGTCTGGCTGCCCTTCACCTGCGGGCACGGGGAGGCTTTGGGGTAGGCATCAAACCCCAAAGCCCATGGGGACACCCGCCGCCCCGGCTCTGCGGCACTGCCCGGCCGAGCCCCCGGGGACCGGCCGCGGGTAACAGCTCGGGTTGCCTTTGGGGTTTGTTTTCCTTCCCTCTTTCCCACTGCTCGTTTCCAGAAATAACCCTGGCGCAAGCTTCAAACGTGGCTTCGCCCCGATGGGTTTCACCCCGGGGGTCGAGCTGCTCCCGCCCGCCCGTCCCCCTCCTCCAGCAAAGGGGGATCCCCGGGGACACTCACCGCGCACTCTGTGGGGCTCTTCTCCGCCCCGATGGAGAGGCAGCCTGAGATGATAAACTGTGCCAGGAGAGAGGGGGACAGTCAGCTGCCGCCGCGGTCACCCTCAGCCCCCCGAACCCACAGGGGGTGAAACACCCACCCAGCATTAACAAGCTGCCCACGGGCACGGCCCCACGGCTCTCAGGGGTACGGTGACACCCCCCCCCCCCTCGCTGGTGTTGTGTTGTG